CATTGACTTACTCTCACATTATCTCTCAATTGGTTGAGAAGGAGATATCCCATCCTTCATCCTCAACCATTCAACCAAAGCCAAGAGAGGGAGAGAGAGCTCTAGCAAGCTTCACACGAGCTCAAGGAAGAAAGAAGACCCAAGGAGAAAAGAATAGTTTTGAGGTAAGAACTCCATAAACATTCTTTAACTAGTTTTGTGTTGTATGATTTTTGAGAAATCATATGATGGATTAAACCACGAGTTTTACACGTTTAAAAGTGTATAATATTGTTATAAAGTGGTGTTAATTAACTTAGAAGAGTCGTGGAATCGATAGGAGTTGAAACCGCCGGAAACCGCCAAGTGTAGGAGGCTGTTCGTAGCAGCAGACGACGAAAGCCGCCCAGCTTTCGTGAAAGCCGCCCGGCTTTCACCTTCTGCCCAGATTTTTCGCTTTCGATCGGTTCAGAACGGGGATTGATCGGAGGGCTTAACAAAGGCAATTATTTCAGCACTTCATAAGGTGAGGATGGCTGACTATATTGCTTATAATCTTTGGGTTAATTTCATAAGATTACCTAAAGTAATTAAATGTGATTTTCATGGATTATTAATGCTTAATAATGCCTAAATGAAAATATCATCGTTTGTGAATAGAAGATGCATAACATACAAATTTATGAGAGATTGTGTATGATGATGCATAATAAATGTGGAGGTATAATGATTGTATAAACCATGAATTTTTGTGATAAAATATACTTTTACTTCATGTATAGAAATCATGAATGGATAAAAGTGATATTTTTGATATTGAGAGTAAATCGTATACGGATTAGAAAATCCATAGGAATGAGCCTTATAACTATGAGTTAAGGAGCTTGGCTGTTTAAAGATTTATGGATTAGTATTTAATTTACTAATCGGGAATGTTGTATAAAAAGTGATAGAACAAATCCTAAGGACTTGGATTGTGAAGGATGCACCTTAAGTAGTCTTATGAGATGCCTTAAGGTAGGAATGGGTAACCACTAAGTTACATTAGGAGTAGGCCTCATTGGCTACTCAAGGTTGAGGAACTCTAGGCATACAATTTGCTAGTGAGTTAGTATCGTGACTAGAGGAAGCCTCTAGCACGATGAAGAATGACTGGAGGAAGCCTCCAGCATTCGTGTAGGATGAACTAGTATCGTGACTAGAGGAAGCCTCTAGCACGATGAAGAATGACTGGAGGAAGCCTCCAGCATTCGTGTAGGATGACTAGAGGAAGCCTCTAGCATAATGTAATGTGACTGGAGGAAGCCTCCAGCACAAAGTATGTAAGGTGATTAGAGGAAGCCTCTAACACCGAATTTAGTGACTAGAGTAAGCCTCTAGCACGGCAAAACATGACTAGAGGAAGCCTCTAGCATGGTGAATTAATATAGATGGGCGTGGCTTGAAGTCACGGGGAAAGTAACACCGAATTTGAAGTCACGTTTTCAAAGTAAAACATGGGTCTTCGGGCCGACTACTTGACTTTATATATAAAGTAAGTATATTTTCAAAGAGGGTAACCACGGGTTATGACCTATATTATATTATCACCCTATGTGAGGGTCTTGGAAATTGAAACTTTGATTATACTTAGTATAGTTGTCATTGTACTTGTCAAATGTTTCCAAGTACTGACCTCCCCTTCACGGGGGAGGCCACCTCACAGTTTCAGGTAGGAGTTGAGCTCGCTACAAATACACGTTGCTTCGAGGGAGGATCCAGGAGGGAAGACGTGGTTCGTGCTTCCTCCGTTTCTGTTTTTCAAACAATTACATTAATGCTCATGGATATTATTTTTGAATAATTATTTGAGGGCTTGTATGTCCATGTTTCGCCAAAGTGTGGTACAAACACTTTATTAAATGTTTCCGCTGCTTTAATTAATTATTTTACATTATGATTGTTTATGGATGTACTATTGTGAATGGTATTCAAGACGCCTTGTATGGTATGGATGAGTTGGACTGCGGTTGACTATTCGTACTGTACGGCGGGTTGTTGACGTGTCTGGTAGGTCCGGGGCGTGACAGTGAGAACGTGAGAACATCACATTTACCTCAACGTGATGCACAATAAGGCTCGCCCAATGCACTATTTCATGTTAAGCATATAATTTACTAAAATGCCACCGTGATTATTTATATAAGCTTGATTCAAGAAAAGAGAAAATGTGCACCTGACGGGCTCTATTGTGCATCACATTGTGTAAAATGTGAGTGTTCTCACGTTCTCACGTTAAGCACCGTTCTCACTTGAACCGCACCCTATATATATATATATATATATATATATATATATATATATATATATATATATATATATATATATATATATATATATATATATATATATATATATATATATATATATAGAATAAAGATCAAATGAGAACATTGCTTAACGTGAGAACGTGAGAACACCACATTTACCCCAACGTGTTGCACAATGAAGCTTGTATATTGCACATTTTCACATTTTCACTATATTTACTAAAATGCCATCATGTTTATTTAATATAGGCTAAACTCGAGCAAATTGAAAATGTGCAACAGAATAGCTCCATTGTGCACCATATTGATTTAAATGTGAGTGTTCTCACGTTCTCACGTTAAGCATCGTTCTCACTGGAACCGCACCTTATATATATATATATATATATATATATATATATATATATATATATATATATATATATATATAGAGAGAGAGAGAGAGAGAGAGAGAGAGAATAGAGATCAAATACAAAGTCTTCTTAATTTACAAAGTACAAACTCATCTTGACCGTCCGATGAGTTGATCCAAAGGACATAAAGGCAAGGTGGCATTTTTGTAATAAAACTCAACTTTTTAGGGTGCAACTCGTTGCACCTTAATGTGCAACTGCTATTTTTATGACTTTATAATGTGCAATACTTTGAACCTCAATATGCAATGCAAATAACGTCAAGGTACATCGTACAAATATTTGCACAATAAGCACACTTTGTACTTGATCTTTCCCCTATATATATATATATATATATATATATATATATATATATATATATATATATATATATATATATATATATATATATATATATATATATATGCACACACATATACACACACACACACATTTGAATTAACTAATACTTAAATTTAACTAATATTATTAAAAAATTAAGTAATTTAACACTACATTTAAATTAATCCTACGTTTAACTAATTTTAACTAATTCAATTCGTTAATTAATTACCAACCTTTTTTCTACACATTACAATTAACTAGTATATTTAAATTTAACTAATATTATCAAAAGCTACACTAACTTAACTAATTAATTTAACTTAATTATTTAAAACCTACGTTTAGCTAACTAATTTTACTTAATTTAACTTAATGCATCACTACGTTTAAAACTACGCTTAGCTAACCAATTTTAAATTGAATCAACTAATTCTAAATAAAAAGAATTCAAATAACATACCTTATTATCTGCATAAACAGGGAAAATGACATAAGATGGACTACATCCTTCGATCTTTCAAACAGATACTGTATTATATATACATGGAATGAATTGGTGTGAACTATATTATATATACATGGAATGAATTGGTGTGGTTCAGTTATATAAAAAACCTAGTCACGGACCTAGTCACGGAATTTTCCGTGACTAAATTTTGAGAAATTAATTTTGAGCGCTGGAAATTTAATTTTTTTTAGTCACGGACGTAGTCACGGATAAATCCGTGACTAAGTCGCCGGAATAAAAACGGGCTTACCGGCGACGGAGTTGGGGCAACCGGAGGACTTTAGTCACGGTTCGTAGTCACGGATTTATGTAGTCACGGACTTAGTCACGGCCAAATCCGTGACTAATTTTTTTTCCAAAAATCCGTGACTAGTCCGTGACTAGCCCGTGACTAGACTAGTCACGGACGAAATCCGTGACTAACGTCCGTGACTAAAGGCGTGTTTTTTTGTAGTGACCTATATATAAAAAGTTAATATATTAGCGACATAATATATTAATATTAATCTAAACTAAATACTTTTTTTGGGTAAGCGCATGTGATGTTGGAGGTGCAAAATCTTTGAGATCAAACATTTAAAAGAAAAACATCAAACATACGACCTTCATAAGCCAAATGAGCAAATTTAATGGTTTCATGTTCCGTTAATTGTTTCGGTAAGTTAAAGGGGTTTTTTGCCCTCTTGTAAGGTTTGTTGAGGTTATTTGCTCAAAAATAAAGTTTGTGGGCATATGTCTCCCTTGGTGGCAACTTTATGAGTCTTTTTGCCCCTTTTTCCTTTTTTCATTCACATGGGCTAATGCGCCAAGTTCCCTTATCACAAGGGGTTTCGTGAATTAAAATCCAAGTAATGAGTATCAATTTATCAAATACCGTTCTTCCTCATTATCTTCTCTAGAAAGATTACTCTGGTTTTGGCTATGTACAAATTAGAGAGTGCTTAGTAACAGCCAGATGCCCATTTTAAATGGTCTGTAGAGAAATTAACAAAATTTGCTACCTCTTTTGGGTAGATTAACTAAGGTTGACAAATCTGCTTATAGATGAAATAAGCAGAAATACCCAGAATAATCAGATGTAAGCAACTGTTGATTTACTTGTTAGGCCTAAAAGGCTAAAATACGAATTTTTAAAAATGCCATTCTTTCTTCAACCATTTGCAAGATTAGATTCAACAAATTCAACCAAATAACACTTTAGCGGGCATTAATTTGACCAAGTGACTGACTTAATCTCCACAGCTTCATTGTAAATACCAGAATCTCTGCAACAATTACTCAAAGCTCAAAGACCATACTCTAAAACAACAAAAATTGGACCTTCAGATGAAATGAAATACCTATTGATCATATATAGTGGCAAACTACTTGAACCAGTTCATTAATTTTTTAATCACCCAATTACTTACCTGCAGCGGAAGATGCAAGACAGAGACTCTAATTTCTGGAATATATGGATAAGTGAAACAGCAGAAATTGTGAAAATTAATCAGGTAAAGCATATATCATCATAATAATTCACTAAAGAAAAGTGAAGTCCCATTTCTAACCAGAATAATAATATACGAGTAATTAATGTATTGTTCCATGAGAAAGGGCTGATACAGAAACAACTGATTGTTGAAGGATTACTGTACAAATACAAGCCGCCCGTCCTCCTCGTCTTCCTCTTCGTGCGATCCTTTAGGGACGGTGACCACCAGTTCGCCGTCGCCAAACGCGGCGCTGGCCAAGCCGGGCAGAGTCGACGGCGGTAGCCGAAACCGCCACAGGTCGAGGTCGAGCTCACTAAGAGGACAGTCAACAAAGTTGTCCCCTCGGATTACAATCTTAGTAACACCGGGGTGGATCTGGATGGCGTGAGCCCTAATATTACCCCCGGTGACGTCGTCAGTCGGAACGATGAATCGGAAGGAATCGTGAGTCTCTTCAATCGATACATCCGCGTCGGAATGGAAAGGTAGCTCCAGGACCTTCGCGAAGATGTGGGGCAGTCGCCGGAGCTTCTTCTGCCGGAACCCGACCGTTTCCGCCTGAGAAAGAGCCGACGCGATGTCGTACCGGACCGTGATGTTTCTCTTCTTGGGCATTGGATGAACCTTCATGGCTGGCACAATCTCCGTGGATTCAGAAGCTGGGAGAGATTCGTTCAAAGAAATTGAGTTTGGGGAAGAAAGGAGATGAAGGAAGAAGTACTGCAGATACAAAACCCTAACCCATACAAGGAGATTTGTTGATTGAATTCGAGTTCGGATTGAGAGAGAAGGTTGCATAGATATAAATGGAAGACGGAGGATTCCAGAGCGATCTATGAGGGCTGATGGATTTTAAACCAATTAGAGATGAAGAAGAACCTGATGCAACCTTTTTTTTTCTCTTCTGAGTGACCCGTGACTGTCGTGAATCACGGTACTGTAAATTTTCTTTTAACACCAAAATTACTAAACACCAAAATTTGCTTGAATTTAGTAAAAATGAAAAGTTCTCAGCGACTCTCTAGGGGTGTGATGGTTTGAACTTTTCCCTATTTGTAAATTTAAGGACATATAGCATTCTTGGATAAAGTTTAATGTAATTTTGTTCCAAGTGTCCAACATTGTAAAAGATTTCATGTCACACAAATTCACACATTTAAGCACACTCATAACATTTTAGTAGCTTGATCATATTTGATAATAGGCTAAAGGGTAGTTCTTGTACCCTTTTAGGTTGCTCAATTTATACCTCGAACTCAAAAATCTCCAATTGACACCCTAAACTCCATAAAAAGATTCAAATTTTATTTTTTGCAGGTCACAAGCCGATCACCGCCACATCATCTAGTAGGGTGTCAACTGTGCATCTGATGTGGCAACTCGGGGGGTCAAATTAGCTCCTGAACCCGATTGAATCGTTCAATTTACCCCCTCAACCCTTAAAAATGTCAAAATTACGAAAAATAGAAATAAGAATGAAAATAGAAAATAAAAAATAGAATAAAAAATATAAAATATAAATATTTTATATATTTTTTAGTAATTTCAAAATAAAGAAATAAAATATAAACTAAAAGAAATTAATTCTTATATATAATACGTCAAAAAAGACTTCAATATATTTATAATAAAAAATATAAATATGTAGTTACATTTTTTATATTTTCATTCTTATATATGAGTAATTTTTATGTTACCACGGATATAAAAAAGTGTAATCAGTAACTTTGAAAAAAATAGTTACATAAAAATTGTATATTTATTTTCAGTACATTTTTAAATAAATTCACAAATATGAAATGAAAAAATACAAATGGATAATTTCAACATAATGCTTCATATAAATATTCAAACCAAAAACCTAAAATTTGGGCTATATTACAAACCATTAGATATAATACATAAAATAAAAATTTAAATATAGTTGGTAAAAATACATTCTTTATTTCTTATATGAAATATACTTAGTAGTTATAAAATATGGAAATAAAGTTACATAATTTTTTTAGTTTATATTTTATTTTATATTTTGAATTTATCATGAGTGATAAATACTTCATATTAATATATTTTATATTTTAGATATGTATTTTATTTATAATTTTATTTATAATTTTATTTATTATTTATTATTTATTATTTAGTATTCTATTTTTATTTTATTTTTCTTCAAAATTTTGACATTTTTTAGGGTGATGGGGTAAATTGAACGATGTGATCAGGTTCATGGGCTTATTTGACCCCTTAAATTGCCACATCACATTCACAGTTGGCACCCCATCGGGTGACATGGTGGTGATCGGATTGAAACCTGCACAAAATGAAATATGAATCTTTTTATCAAGTTAGGGTGTAAATTGGAGCTTTTTTGGATTCAGGAGGCAAATTGAGCAATATGAAAGGCTACAAGGACCTATTTGACCCTTTAGTATTGATAATATTTCCATCTCCTCACATTAGTACACATGGTGATCGTATCATTATTAATAAAAGTGAATTTATGTGATTATTGTTGAGTTGATAAAGCGATAATAAAATACATATGATTTAGAATCATACAAACATTACCAAATTTGATATACGACAATCTTAGAATCCTTTTAGTAACAGTGAAATTGGTTGAATCAGTTGAATCTGCTGAAATTGATGAAGTTCAAATTGAAGAAGATGAATCTGGTGAATTATTAAAAATTATATTTATAATATATTTTATTAACAAAATAAATAAATGGAAAAATAACTAAAATGGTAGATCGGCCATTTCAGTCAAAAAAAGAACTTCAACCTTATTTATTTTGATTATTATACCGTGCATGGAATAAAACTTGGTGGAAAATTTGATTGATAAGATTTCTAAACATATGATTAATCACTAACTCTAAAATATGTTGAATTTGATAAGTTTATTTGCTATCTAAAATAAACTATGTTTGTATGGTCAAGAGTCTTGTATGGAGAACTGTCAAATATGTCCTCGAACTTTCATAAAAAAATCAAATAAGTTCTTATATAGGAGGCTCTGTCCGGCCGTCGCGATTTGAGGTGGTTCCCGGTAGAATTTTTTGATGAATTTTTTTGAGAATCTTATTCATCAAGTCTAGTTTACTCATACCAAATTTCAGCTAAAACTTCAGTCGAGAACGTATTCAAATTAATTCTTGAAGATAATTGTGTAGTTATCCTCACTGTAGGTGGGAGCCTTTACGGCACTGGGTAATGATGATAATGATGATGATGATATTAAGAACTTCCACAAAGTAGTTGAATTGGATAGAAGTAAACTGGCAACTAGAATTATATCAACAAGATCTTCAACTTTAATTGAATTATAGAATTTGCATTAAAGATCGCCAACTTTAATACTATTCTAAAGTTTGCTACACTTTCCCTTTTGGGATGTATTTAAAGGTTTGCTACACTTTTCATTTTTAATAAGTTTTTTCCTTTAAAAATATTCAACTACCCTTACTTTTTCTACTCCATCCGTCCCATTTTACCTGTCCTACTTTCCTTTTTGGGCTGTCCCAAAATAAGTGTCCACTTTCCTTTTTGGGAAAGAAATATGTGGTCTACACCAATTCACTTTATTATACTCAAACTTCAACCACAACTTTTACTTTTTCAACCACTTCATTAATAATCGTGCTAAGTCAAACTAAGACACATAAAATGGGACGGAGGTAGTACTTTTTAGAGATATTACCCAAAATGGGACTAAAAAAGATTGGAAATTCCAAAATAGGACTTCCATGTTTTTATTCCCAAAATAGGACTAATTACTGTCATGTTTTGGCAGTACCAGACTTCAAACATGGCAGTATTTTCCAAATTTGGCAGTAATTAGTCCTATTTTGGGAATAAAAACATGACAGTCCTATTTTGGAATTTTCAAACTTTTTTAGTCCCATTTTGGGAACTTTCTTCTCTTTCCTACTTTTTCACCTTTTCTCCTACTTTTTCTATACTATTCATTACTCCTACCATTTCCTCCTTAAATATTGTGCCAAAGCCTATTGAAGTGATCTTTACGATACGGAGGGAGTATAAATATTCCTTTCGTCTTAAAAATGAATAATACGTAGTATTTGAATAAGGAAGAAAACAAGTTAGGAATGATCACTTACATAGAGTTATACTACCCCTGCTTTCCAATATTGTTTTGAATTAATGTCCAAACATTTTGACATTAGTTGAACTATTAAAGATAAGAATAAATGGGGATTAATAAGAACAGAGACAAGTCCTTGTTATTATCATAGATAAGAATAGTCTACTAGTCTAGTGTCTCACTCAATGTCTTCATTATAAGGCAAAACCAACAAAAATAAACACACTTTCACTATCAGCTAGTTTTACAACAGCATCATGAGAATACCGCCAAACAACTTCAAAACAAGCAGCCTTCATTGCTTTACATATGCGAAGTATAAATAAACAAATGGGGATATCACTTTGTTCCTTTTCTGTCATTTCTGCCCCTCTTCCTGAACTCCCGTCTATCTGCAGAATATTGCTTCTTGATGAAAAGATTTCTCATTGCTGTCTTGACTGCTTCCGCCGCTGCTACAAACGCCTCTGTTTTGATGCACAGACTCCCTTGCAGTTTATCAAGGGTTTCTTCACCCCCTGGCACATCTTTGTCGTCAAGAAATAATGTTTCTTGATCAGCACTCTTCCTGAAACCAGACAGAACCCTCACACGGACCAATGATCCTCCTGCTGACTCAGCATTCAGACCAGAGACACCCATGACCAGCCATAATAGATCTGCTGACATGGTAGCAGCCCCCAAGCTCGTCGGAATAAAAGTCTCTGGACCAACAACGGGGACCACCTGCAAGCAGAAAACAAAAAAAGTTATATAATGTTTGGAGAGATGAGCATGAATGAAGAGTAGGGATTGGATGAATACTTTGAAAACAGAGAGACTTCTTGTAGAAAGCTCACAGGTCAATAGCATCACTCCCGGCAAGCTGCATTGTGATCAAAGATCAATACACAATTACCAAACGGGACTTGGGAGTATTGACGTTAAGATGCTTTTAATACCTCTGTACAGCTACTGCAATTAGTGATCCGTCTGGAGTGGCACATATATCAGTGATTGCGGGAACAAAATCTTCTTCACCTCCATTTGACTGTGCAACTCCTGCCTTAAGTTATACATGGAAGAGTAAAGAACGGGTGAGAACTAAGGCTTTGTTTGGCAGTTGTACTTTTTTAAATTGCTTTTCTTACCAACTGAATAAGTACCCTATGATTTTATTTGTTAGCTGAAATGGATGTTACATTAACACTGTTAATTTGTTCAGCAAATTTACCCCCATTCTGGCCAAATAATCCTTACCAAGCAGACCCTAATATTAATTAGGTGGCACTAGGAAGGAAAAGCTACCTGTGCTCCAACGAGGCATGTGTCTAGAAGAGAGCCAGAAAGATAGTCCCACAGGCGAACCTGAAAAATGTACAGTGGCATGTTTGTGAGCTATACCAGTTAAATGGATACAAATTAGGCTCAGTTTGGTATGATACGCTTACACTGCTTATTGTACTAATCAGCTGGATAAGTAAAAACTGATTTGTTTGGCTCAAATGGATGTTACAATACGCTTTTCCAACCGGAAAATTCAGCAATCAATTTCAGTCAAATAAACCTCAACTAATAGGCCATCAGTACATTCAACGTATCAGATTTAACATTTTTACTCACTGAAGAATCACCACCCCCAGAAACTAAAAAGCCTTGTGCAAATTCCTGATTGCAAACAAAGGTAAGGCAGGAGACAAACCTGTCGATAAAGAAGATCAAACAATGAGTAATGTAGAGTACCCACAGTTTTTATTATTAGCTGATAATTCATTATCATCATTTATGGTCAGTTTGACGTTAGCTGAGTGTA